ATTGTGAGTTCCACCTCTTGTTCTGACTTCTCTTTGCTCAGCTTCCTTTGCTGGTTCACTGGACGAATTCACTCCATAACTTCCCGGAATCATTGTTTCTGTTGATGGGTTCTCATCAAAGTAAACACCGTTTCTTATTGTCACTATGTCAGTCTTTAAGTAGAGGACTCTATATCCCTTACTTTGTTCACTATAGCTCATCAGAATACTTTCAATGGCTGTGTTCTCCAATTTTTATCATTTCTCATTGGGAATATAGGCGTAAGCTTTACATCCGAACACTCTAATGTGTCCTAGGCCAGGCTTCGATCCATACCTGAGTCAATACACCAATACGCGTGGCATACTGTTCTGAGTCACTTTAAAGGTAGCACTCCATGATGTACCTGTAGTTTCTTTTGCGGCTGCCTTAGCTCTTTCTCTTGTGGGTGCCTCTCATTTTCACTGCTCGGCTTTCCAGATTGAACAGTCCTTTTTCAGGTGACCAGTCTTTTTACAGCGAAAGCACGCTCTGCTTTCTTTGTTTTGCTTTGCGCTCCCATGCACCTTTATGGCTTTCTCGTTTTCTTCATTAAGCATATTTTCTTTCCTTCTGTCATATTCATCAAATAATTTTACTTTGGCATATTCTAGTGTTAGTTCCTGCTTGAGTCTGGTTTCTAGACGTTAATAAGAGCATTGTATGACTCTGGAAGGCTGCATAGCAGTAATGCCATCACCTGGTTATCTTTAATTTCCTCTCCAATTGCACATAGTTGTACTTTGATTTCCAGCATGACATTCACACATTTCCTGGCCTTTTTCTAGCCTCATCTTATATAACCTGTGTAACAGATATAGTTTACTGTTTAGGTTTGAACGCTCATGCAGTTTCTGTAATGCAGTCCACATACCTTTAGCTGTATTCTCTTTTCTTATGTGGATGAGCTGGTCATCTTCCAATAGCAGAATTATAATTGCTTTTGCTTGCCTGTTCTTCTTGTCCCATTCCTCCGCGGGTCTATTACTGGGTCTGTCTGTACTCAGTACATTTCAAGTTTGAACTTCCATAGCTGGTAGTTGGTATTGTTGAGCTTTGCAACTGCAAACTTCATATCTGAACTGCTCACCATCTTTTACTTTTCTTTGGATGCGGCTCCTGTTGACTTGCAGTGTTCTGTTTAGTGTCTGGGCCCATAACCTGTTGGTTTTGTGTTTAGATGGAGCACTGAGATCTTGAGGAATGCTGAATTAAGTTTTCATAGTTACATAGTATGTGAGGTTGAATAAAGACATAAGTCCATCAAGTCCAACCTATTGTGTGTATGCATTTATGTTTGAGCAGGTGTGTGCGTGTGTATTAGTCCATGTGGGATTTTGCTCCTAGGCGTACCTGTACCCCTGTATGTTATGGTCTCCGAGGAACTCGTCCTGCAGTTTCTTGAATGTTTCCACACTCTTAGCCGAGATCACTTCCTGCAGCAGCGAGTTCCAGACCTTAACCGCTCTGACTGTGAAGAACCCCTTGTAACGTGCTTAGAAGAACGTTGCATATAAATAGGAAAACTTCCTGTGTATCATAGATAAGCATGCATATAGAGAGTAACATTGCACTACAGTGCCATCTACAGCTCAAAAGACATATCACAGTAGTAATAAAATCAATATATATCAGCATATGCTGTTGCATTTCCAACAGTATCAACTGCACAAAAGTGCCATAATGGATGCCATTCTGCTAACAATGGAAGAGATAAATGAGGAATGAAGATGAAGACAACAAAGAACCTGGCACTGGAGAGGCCAGAAGATTGTGTTTCATTATTGCTCCTTGTATATGCATACCCTCTTGCTAAAGATGCACCTGACCAGTTATCCTATCCCACAAAGCACCTATTTTATGTTTCACCAAGAAGCCAATTTTGACATGTTACGTACAACATCTGACTATTCGGTAACATCGCATTACAATGCAACTTATTTGGTATCCCCAGCACCACTAAACTAATTTCCTGCACCAAATTGGTTCTATGCCATAAAATGATACATTTGTAGCCAAGATGGTCTGCACTGGAAGGGTAGGTGTTCTTCTGTCCTGACTATCTTACTTCTGGTGTGGCTATTCCCCTTTGTTCTTTATAGGAGAATATGCAGGAACACAGATAATGCAAGCAGTATTATGGCTTACATAGAAAGACAGAAAAGGTTGTAAACGGTTGTTACAGTGATACATTATATGGCCAAAGATTTTGTGGACACCTAACCATCTCACCTATACTCGAGGGACAAAAGTATATGGACTGCTCCAAATGGTTGAGTTCAGGTGTTTTCAGTGAGAAGACTGTTAATACTGTGACATACAAAGACATTTTAGACAATTGTTCACCTTCAACTTTTTTGCCCCATCATGACTGTGCCTCTGTGCACAAAGCAAGCTGCATATAGACATGGTTTGATGAATTTGGTGGGAAAGAACTCAAGTGGCCTGCACAAAGCCCTGACCTCAACTCTACAGAACTGCTTTGAAGCTTCAGCTTCAGATACATTGCTGAAAGCCTTCCCAGTGGAACCTGCTTTAGACATTTGGGGGGAGGGGGCATGGTTTTGCTTTGAGATGTCTAAAAACTTCATATAGGTATAATGGTCAGGAGTCCACAAATATTGGTATGAGTTAGAAATATAAGTTAAGTTGCTTCTGACCTGTTATCCAGTGAAAAGGGAATAGAATACACACCAAATAGGCTTTTATATAATATATATAAATATTGCATTTATTTCCAATATATTATTTTCCTCAGTAGTATACATGTTTTGAAATAAAAATCCACCAGTGGTGCTATCAGCTTTAAATCTGACATCCACTGGCGATTAGAACGGAAAGTTGTGTTCAGAAGGTTATTGGCAAACCGCCGTGCCTTATGAGCCGGGCAAGAATAAAGCAGAGTATACATGGTAAGAATTGTAAAACTTGTTTTTGGAATGTTCGTTTGATTGTACAATAGTTAATAGAGTCAAATCGACATTCAATTGAGACAGAAGTGAGGAAAAAAGTCGAAGGAACATTTCTTCGAATGGCTCAATGAATGAATGAATAAACAAATGAAATTCTAACAGTGAATGTGGTTTTCATTCTGGAAACACGATTCATTTCCAAAATCGAACGTTAAAATTAAACTGATGGAATTATCGAATGTTCTGATAAGATTTTTCATATGAACATTAGTACAAAGATCTACCAGTGTATGCGCAGCTTAAGGCACAGAAGGGTGGCTTGCAAGAACTGTACGGGTATGACAAATGTGAAATTCTTTCAACTGGACATAGTTTAGCACTGTTAGTGGCTTCCATTTTGTAAGGACAAGCTGCCAAGTCAAAAAATAACAGAGGCAGGATCTATTCAATTACATGTTTTCAGAAACCAAATCCCCTTTACAAAAGGAAAATGTCGAGGCTTTTGAAGCCTGAACACTACAAGGAATTGCAGGCAAGCCCTCCTGGGCACCTGGAATATGTCAGGTCAAGATGTCTTGAGCAATAGGACTGAGACTCTGCCCCAGATGAATTTATAAGCAGGGGGAGTGAGACTCCTCAATGTCAATAGTCACAGTAAGAACTCTGGCAGGTTGATCCTATCACCACACACCCCAAGAAATATTAAGAGCTAGGGGCAGATTCTGCCTATCAAACTGAACAGCATCCACCTATAACTAAAATACCAGAATTGGAAGGACGGACCCTTCAAAGAAGATCTGTACTGAGAGCAAAATGTAGAGCTGTCATTGCTGACGTCCACTGAAAATGCCAAAAGCCTTCCTGTTATGCTGTCCAAATGAAAGTTCTTACTTTACAAACTGCATGCTTGTTCCAGGTAAATGGCCCAGCCAGCAATGCAACTAAAAACAGATAGGCAAGAAGCATTTTTTAGATGGAGGTCATCATGGGCAGCCTCTGTATTTCTCTTAAGGGTTTCTTTATTTAGCATTGCATTCATATATGCATTTTAAACAAACACCGTATTGGTTTCTATGGCTTACTTTCACCAAAATGTGGTATTAGTAAATAATGCTCTTGAGTAATGTCCTACAGCCAACAGTGTCCCTAGTCTTTTCCCTGCCCTTGGGGGGGGGGGGGAAATTGGTGCACGCTAACGGAGGAGTGGATCATCTCACCAACTAGCTGGGGCCTCGGCTGGCTGCCATCCCACCTAGGTAACTGGTTACCAGGAGCTGAATGGGACACCAGACACAGGATCCCAGGTTGCTGGGCGGGGAGATGTATATGGCCCTTACACATCTCCCCACCAAACTCTTCCCCAGCCAGAAAGGGGGCAGCAGGCACATTGCAAACATTGTGCAGCAAGGCGGCCATGCTGCTCTGCCTGACGCCCCCCCTCCCACACGTGAGCCAAAGAGATGCTGCCTGAGGCAATCGCCTCAGGCTGCATCTTTAAAGGAACGTCCCTGCCTACAGCTAACATGGACCACATTATGTAAAATGTCTCTCAATAACTTTACATATATAAATATAACTCTGTACAAAAATATAAAAAGCTCTTGGAATTATCTGTAGCTATATTTAAAAATTCAGCTTTTTTTTTAAGTAAAACAAAAAATTTAATTTCCCTTCACAGAAGGATATAAGGCAAATGTGGTCAACCTTCAGCTCACCAGCTATGGAGAAAGTACAGGTCTGAAACTAAAACATGTTTAGTTGATAGCTGCCAATCAGATTTGAGATTTCATTTTTCTTTTTGCTAACAGAATAGAAAAGCGAGCATCTGATTGGTTGTTAAGGAAAACACATATTCTATCTTACTGTCACTATACTCGAGCCTCCAAAACTATCAGAGTGCTTCAAATATGATGGGACAGACCTTTCTAAATCTAATGGCCAAGATTGCTGTATTTATCAGAAGTGCCGCTTTATGGGCCTCAGGACTGAACTGCTGCTCAGCAACCAATCCGATAGCTCATTTCATGATTCTAGCGTGGCATTGGAAAATGAAAGGGAAAATCTGACTGGTAGCTATGGGACACAAGTAGAGTTTTTCCTTCAAATGCTTTACGTCAAAAGGTCCTGAAGGATGCATTCTAGTTAAAGGAATGGAATTGTAAGTCCGTTAGGTGGGAGATCCAGGCCACTGTTCAACCAGATCTCGTGGATAATTTGCTCCCTTCGTTCAATCCTTTCAGCAAGATCTGCTGCGTCTGCGCTGCTATAGAGTGGACGTGGAGATTTGCACAGCTCGCGGAATTCCTCTGAAAAGTTAGACTTGTTGGAGGACTCGTCCTCTTCTTGCTCTTCGCTGCTGTACTCCTCTGCCTCTTCACAGTCCCGATCCTGCACTACCTGTCCGTTCATCTTCCGAGGAGAACGCCAGTCCCTTCTCCATGATATGTGGATTACCAGAGCAAACAGTGTAACGATCAGTCCAACGCAAACACTGGATACAAAGAACAAGGCCGCTGTTTCCGGATTATCTAAATGTAGAGGTAGGTATATCAGATTATGTTGTACAGTGTTACTGCAACCTCATCATTATACCTCATTTGTATACAATACCAAATATCTTGTATCCTGTACTGATATGGGAACATTTTATGTTCTTTTTACAGCAGTATTAACCACTTAAATCTCTTACAGACCACAGCAATTTTAAAATTTCTGCCATGGGCCTACTAATTTGGAGAACTTACAGAATTCCCATCCCATCCTGCCTCTCCTCACTCCTCTGACAGTTATTTTGTATTAAACCCGGTATCTACCTTCTTTTGGAAATGTTCTGGCCTGTCCTGTGACATCACCCCAGGCTTATTCTCTTTTACCCAGGTGGCAGCAGGGGCAGGCATATTTCTAGGACTGGGTGGTGCTTATGTAAATACATGCAAGTGTTGCTCAGTCCTGGAATACTGTGAGCCCAGCCTGGGTGATGACGAGCCCCCTAGGGTGGGCATGCACACAACAAGCTGGGCTCAGAGGAAAGGTGCAGAATGACAAAGTGTTGTCAGAGGACGACAGAGGACCTCTAGCACTGGACTGAGGGGGAATTCAGGGACAGCACCGGAGAGTGGAGAGGGTACGTACAACTTTGGAATTTATTTTTATTATAATGGGGTGGGGGGAGAATGGACCCATATAAAAAAATGAAGCTGGAGTTCTACTTTAAGAAAACAAAGTAATACATATAACAGTTTTTAAGAATAAACAATGCTTTCTTTCTGTGATATAGTCTTGCAAAAATGATTTTATTTTTCATGCAATCCATAGTAAAAAACGTAAAAAATGTAATAAAAATGTCTTCTTTAAAGTTAGCGTTCAAACGTTTACATTTTATTCTGCCATTTGTCCCATTTCAAATGACACCACAATTGTGATATAAGTTACCATTTTTTTTACTGCAACACTGAAAAATAATGAATACAAAAAAAAACGTTTAAATATGAATGGTTTTGCTGGGAAATGTAAGTTATGCGGGGAAGGGGAATAAGAAATTAATTAGGGCTGATAAGGGTAAACTAAGGCTTAATAAGGAGTTAAATAGAAACATTTTGTTTTCTGTTTTTTCAATTGTCAGGTTGCTTTAGCTGACTTCATATGCAGATCAAAGCTCGTTCCTTTGACCTGCAGATGAATGAAACAGAACAAATACAAAATTAACCATGTTACTTTGTATCTGTAGATCTCACATCTGAAAAATGTAAATTTGTTTACAGCAACAGCTTCTACAGACTTTGTAAGTACACAGTAACTACCGGCTGTCCTATTGACAGCTGGGAAATGCCAGCAAGTGTGAGGAGGGAACAGCAGCAGGGCAGAAGGACAGGATGTACTACACATGCCCTGTGTACTTTATCTGTGTAGTACACTCAGTGTCAACAACTGGTTACGTGTCAATAACTGGCCCTCTTCTTTTTTGGTTCCTCACCACTGTTGTGCCACTGGAAGCACAGTAAAATACCCCATACTACCAGGTATGGCAAGGCACGTGACTCACCCCTCTTCCTTGTGGCAGTGCATGGACATTAACAGTAACCTTTTTATAGGTGAAATTCAACAACAAGTGGGCCTTTATTAGTCCATTTACAAAAATCCAACACCACGGTCCTCATACTACACAATTGTTGGTAAATTAGTGTATTATGCATGATAAGCTTTAAACTATCCATAGACATGCAGATCAGTCTGCCTGATTCAACTTGAGCTAAAACTACGCAGTGCCTGATCTGGAACAAATTCAGCCAAACATGTGTATGACCCAGTCATTCCTCAATCATGGATCAATTAAAAAACATATTAGCAAATTATTAGCAAGTCAGGTCTAAAATTATCTTTTTTGCTAATAATCAGCCTGTGGTTGCTTTACAGTACCGTGAAACTGGTTGGCTTGAGAAAGGTGCAGCCCACTGGCAAGAACAATCCAAGCTGCCAGCTGCTAATATAAGTACAGCAGAAGTGACAACACCACCATTGAGTCCCTTCTATGGGACTTCACATGGCACAACCTACATCTCATTTATATGACCTGAGACTTAAATGTCCTCTGTTTCTAGTAAAATAAGATAAGTGCTTAGGCATTAATTTGGGAATGACTTTAGCAGCTTGTATTTCAGGCTCAGTGGGCTTTCCACTCACACAGCATGTCAGTATGTACAGGAATCCTACCTCTGATGTAAGAATAGGCTGCAAGAACGTTACTGAGGAGAAGCCCGTCTCTGTTGGGAAGCTGCGACTCCGATGGGTGCATTATGATATCTGTTTTAAAAGAAAAATGGACAGACATATTGAACATCTCCCATCCGTGCAGATGTACAGAGAAGAGCCACCAAGGAGCAGAATATGTGATATTGCACGTTCCACATAAGCCATGAAATGAGGCGTATCATTCTGGGGACGGTGGAATTAGAAGCACATTCTGATCATTCTTCAGTAGCAAGAAGTAGGTAAATACGGGAGAGGCTGTAAGCTTAATTGACATTTATTATACTCCCAGGTACATGGTATTCAACTAGTGGCATACTTGGCTTACCCTAGTCTTAGCTCTCCTGGCGTTCATCTGGCAAAATGCAGTGGCCTACTTAAAATATATATATACAGGTAAAGATTAACTCCAGCCTGAGGAATGAACTTGATATTGTTCTATATTTTGGAGTTACTAACACTACTAACCATAAACTGCTAACAATTTTACCTCTTTACTTGCAAAAAAAAGAGCAACTAACACTGGAAAACAATGGGGGGAATTGATGAAAACTGGAGAAGACAGAATCTGGAGCAGCTGTGCATGGCAGCCAATCAACTTCTATCTTCAGTTTGTTCAGTTAAGATTTGAAAATGAAAGAGAGAAGCTGATTGGTTGCCATCCACAGCTGCTCCAGATTTTGTCTACTCCAGTTTTGATAAATTCCCTTCAATGTGTCTGTGACCACCCTCTCCAATACACCAATGGGGACACAAATATGGTGTTGATAAGGTGCAGAAAAACACCAATCACCCCACATGGTGTCAACAAGCCCTAAGGGTTAGCCAACAAGTAGGACAAATATAAAGACATGATACACGTTTGTTGAAATAAATACACATACTATAACATTTTACATAAACAGTGGAGAAATGCAACATGTATGTTTAATAGTGAAACATGCCATACAAAACGCTTTATATGTGGCTGCTCTCGAATTACACATGCAGATTTAAGCAGATGGGTTTTCCTGCAAAGCGTTATGGTAAACAGGAAGTGACATCAAAGCATCCATGCAGTGATTCTAAAAAAACATGCATTTTTTCAGCACCGGGAACTGATACATGTCTGAAATGAATGGGGAAAAAGTGGGGAGAAACCACGATTCTTGACCATAGGTTCTGGGTGGTATCATATCTTCACTTCTATAGATTATTATTTGATTGTACCATATTTTTACTGTTTATAAATGACTAAACAATGTACAATTCTGCTAAAAATTAGGTCTGACCTTATAGGTAACATTTTCAGTTGAATACTGATGGATTGTGAAATATTTGCACACAAACTTAGTGATGTTGAATGGACTCTCTATAATGTTTACACTTACTATTATGGGAGCAAAGTTTGTTTTATCTAGAATGGTGGTGAATTGTGTAACAAAGAACAGTACTTTCTTCTGTTGAAAACTGACGAATTAAGCCGTAAGCCCTGGTTCACACCAAGGCGGCACCGTTTTTAATCGTTGTACGCGCGTTAGCAGCATGCGGTTATTTGCGCTTTTTGATTGGCAGCTCATAAAACATTGTGGGCAATGGAAGAACGAAAGTATAAACGCGCAAAAACGCTCACGAAAATGTGCAACATGCTTCTGTTGCGCGTTTTTGGGCATTTCCAATTTAGTCTATGGGGAGGAAAAGCGCTTTTAATTGCCCAAAGAAGCTCCTGTATCTTTTCAGGCGTCTGGCGTGTTCCTGCAAGGCGTTTTTCTGTTCAGGTATAAACCAGGGCCATTGAAAATCATGGGATTTCTTGTGTTAAACAGTTAAAAGCGCTTTTCGAACTGCTCAAAAACTCCTAACTGTGAACCAGGGCTAAAAATGTAATATATTGCAGCCTATCAGTTCTTAGATGTGCTGGCTGCATTCGTTTTCTTTTCAGGCTTATTTCCTTTATTTTCACCTGATGATCCAGCCAGTAACACATTTCCTGTCCCACGATGACAATGCTCATTCTAAGAATGTTGTCAGCCTAGCACAGGAAGTGTGTTAGAACTGCAGTGCACCTCCCACTTTCCATAATATAGTGGGGGTGTTCTGTAGTATACAGAGGTAAACTGGGCAGGCCTGATAACAATGCAACATGCACCGGATAGAAGACAGCACTGGCTTTCTGGTAGAAACAACTGGTATTTCTTTACACTTATTGAAAAAAGATAACAAAATGCTTTCAATGCAGTATTTAACAAACCAAAAGGGAGCAAATAAGAGATATTATGGTTAGGGTTTGCACCTTAATTAAGAATTTCAGCCAAACTAGTTTTGGATAGGGTAGAGTAGGGTGAGAAATTCTGTCAGGTTGTTATTGTTGTCTATGTCTCTGTTGAGGAGAGCCACTCTATTATTTGTCCAGGTGACCACCAGCACTGGGAGAGAAAGTTAAACTGTATGTAACTCCTAACAGGGAACTTCTCTTATTTGATACTTTTGGTGTGTTAAATAATCCATTGACTTTTGATCTTGCCAAAAGCTGAGACCCTTCTGGGATGAGTTGCTCTCTGTTATTGAACAATTTGTCATGGTGGACATGCCGGATGACCCTGTTGCTTGTTCATAACCTCTTTGACTGTACATCTCCTCAATGCAGCACAAGCTTGGATTCTATTATTAAGGAAGCCGACCCACCCCCTGCCTTTGCGTCTTTCGTTCAGCATAGTGGATCACATCTTACGGATGGAAGACCTGATGTTGACTCTAAAGAATACTGAAGAACGTTTCGGATCCACTTGGAGGCCTTGGCTTTTTTTTCCAAACCACTGAACAATATCTATGGGCTCTGTCTGACCATTCTCCATGACTTCTTTTTGGGGCTACTACAAACTCTTTTTTTGTAGTGCTGGCTTGGGGGAATGGGTTCCGTAGAGGGTTCTTTCCTTCCCTTCCTTTCTTTTTCCACTGCCAATATGTATCTTTTCTCTTCTTCCCCTTCCTATCTTTAAACCTTTCTGGATTCCTCATGGCTTGCCTTTATCGATCTTATGTATCCTCTTTTTCCATTTCAAGCTCCTCTTCTTGCTTTAAAACTCCCTCCTATATAGGGAGGCCATGACTAATTAGTTTATAACTCCAGTCCTAAGTCTGAATGAGACGCACTTACATTTTATTGCACTCACCCAATGCTACCAGTTTTATTTTACCATGTTGCACAATGCAAATTATATTGATTTTTGTATTTTAAACACAGGTGACAACTGGCTGTCTATGTACTCTACCCATCTTGCAGATATATTTAGACCAAAACCGAAAAAAATAAAATTTGTCAAGCCAAAACCGAAACCAAGAAATCTTTTTAAAATATTTTTTTTAAATATTTTATTTTTATTTATTTATTTTTTAAACTGTATGTAACTCCTAACAGGGAACTTCTCTTATTTGATACTTTTGGTGTGTTAAATAATCCATTGACTTTTGATCTTGCCAAAAGCTGAGACCCTTCTGGGATGAGTTGCTCTCTGTTATTGAACAATTTGTCATGGTGGACATGCCGGATGACCCTGTTGCTTGTTCATAACCTCTTTGACTGTACATCTCCTCAATGCAGCACAAGCTTGGATTCTATTATTAAGGAAGCCGACCCACCCCCTGCCTTTGCGTCTTTCGTTCAGCATAGTGGATCACATCTTACGGATGGAAGACCTGATGTTGACTCTAAAGAATACTGAAGAACGTTTCGGATCCACTTGGAGGCCTTGGCTTTTTTTTCCAAACCACTGAACAATATCTATGGGCTCTGTCTGACCATTCTCCATGACTTCTTTTTGGGGCTACTACAAACTCTTTTTTTGTAGTGCTGGCTTGGGGGAATGGGTTCCGTAGAGGGTTCTTTCCTTCCCTTCCTTTCTTTTTCCACTGCCAATATGTATCTTTTCTCTTCTTCCCCTTCCTATCTTTAAACCTTTCTGGATTCCTCATGGCTTGCCTTTATCGATCTTATGTATCCTCTTTTTCCATTTCAAGCTCCTCTTCTTGCTTTAAAACTCCCTCCTATATAGGGAGGCCATGACTAATTAGTTTATAACTCCAGTCCTAAGTCTGAATGAGACGCACTTACATTTTATTGCACTCACCCAATGCTACCAGTTTTATTTTACCATGTTGCACAATGCAAATTATATTGATTTTTGTATTTTAAACACAGGTGACAACTGGCTGTCTATGTACTCTACCCATCTTGCAGATATATTTAGACCAAAACCGAAAAAAATAAAATTTGTCAAGCCAAAACCAAAACCAAAAAATCTTTTTAAAATATTTTTTTTAAATATTTTATTTTTATTTATTTATTTTTTTACTTTACTTTTAGGGGCTTTGGGGAAATATTAGAGGTCTAAACAGACCCCTGATATTTCCGTTTTAAAATAGAAAACGAAATTGAGGACACAGAGTCCTCAATCCCTTTTTTCTGCAGCCCGTTAGAAATAAACAGGAATCCTCTATACTGAGTGCTCCTGTCAATCATGAATGAACAGGAAGTGATATAGAGCACTTCCTGTTCATTCATAACAACACAGTAAGCATACTATGTCCTCAGTTATTTACAAACACTCAGCGATCAGCTCTACTGCTCTCCATCCTGACTTGCCTGTCACAGGAGTCTGAGCGGGTGGTGTGGGAGGAGAGCTCGGCCTCCAGTGATAATGCTGACAGCACTCTCCTCCCCACTCAGCCTCCTAAAAGTTTTTCTTCTGCCCGCTGGGTGCTGCTCTGTGTACCCTCTGGTCCTCGCAACCTCTGCTTACACAGCGGATGAGAGGGGACACAGGGCAGCGCCCAGAGGTTTTAATGATATATATCATTAAAACTATTCTGTTATATCTGTTTGACAAGTGCACAAAATACCTGTTGATTCTACCAGAAATCTTGCGAGCTGACAACTTCCTGTGCTCTCTGCTTGTGCTAATTGTTATCAGTTACATTGTTCCCTGTTTTCTCTGTGAACTACAGAACTCCTTTCCAATATGTTGTAGAGAAGTATAAAGAAAGAGACGTTCTGTAATCCAGTTCTAAGGGGACAGCACTGCTTCTCTATAGATACGGTATGTTGTGTGAGTGTAGTCACCTTAGGACTGGAAGTGTTTACTGGAAGGGCAACCAAGTGAAAATAAAGGAAAAAAAGAAAATGAATACAAGTATCACATCTAAGGACTAGTAAGCTGTAATATATCACATTTATGTTCTTGGGTTTATATACACTTCATGGGAAGTCCAAAATGGTAGGGTTGTCATCAGTACAAAATTATAGGAAATATGTTTCTATGGGGACACCTGTCAGATGGTAATTAGCCCTGACCTCTGTGCTCACTGATATTGACTTTCCGCTGTAAAACAAGAAGAACCCTAAAAAAAGGTTTCTTATCATGTAAAATGGGGAGTCTGACCCTGTCTGCATTAATCCAATGTTAACATTAAAAAAAAGTATTTCTGATCAAAAATATTATTGTGCCAGATTTCTTTGAATCCCCTCCCAAATACTAACTATAAACATCAGATAAGAGTCAGAATGGGTCTTGATCTGACCATCGAGTGATCTTTTATTTTCTAATTTTAAAAATGTCCTCTTCATTGACATACAGGCTTGTGAGTTGTCTATGGTCAAAAAAGGTGTTTATTACAAACAGGTATGAAGATAAGCCATGATAGTTACCATATTTACCATCGTTCTGCTTCAAAGGGGGTACTAGATTAGAAATCTTTGGGTCAACCTCCTTCAGAAGGATTTGGGGAACTATAAATGAAAAACAGAATATTGTATTTTCCCCTTCTCGCTATTGAGATGCACCTATCACCTATCTCTAATCTATATATTGAGTAGGACTTGGTGGAAGAATTGTAGACTTCTGGATGGATGTTCCTTTCTAGAGTGGACAAAGCGGTCTACTTATTAGGATTTGCTTTGATTTCCCGCCTGCCATTTTTCTTTGACAAATTCAAAAATGAAATTACCAATATCTACACTTCTTTTTTCCTGTAAAAATCTATTTGAACTAACAGGAATTGGAGTATTTTAATAAAAGCAAATGTTATGGATTAGAAGGTGTCATTTTATGTGCTGGGGTTCCGATAAAAGAACCTTGTCAGTTGCCTAAAAAAATTGAAAGGCCAGTTCCCGGCCATAGAAGAGCTGTTATACTCACCTCTATGGTGGCCCATGTCTACCACCTTTATTTCATGTCACCAGTGCAGCCTCCAGTCAGACTCTTCAGCATTCAGTTCTTATGGAAGTGTCGGATGGCTGTGTCCCCCAACGTGCTCTGATTCCTTCCATCGACCTCATATTTACTAGCTTGTTGACCCTGTACACTTTGTGTTGTATGGTAAAATGTGGGACTTTAGTGACTCCTAAAAAGTCTAGCTATATCTTTTTTCTTTTGATGGTAACACACAACATTGTTTGTTCAGCATCTTTTCATATAGTGCGTTCTGGTCTCACATTTATTCCTGGTTTCTTTGGCATTTGAACCTGCTGTCCCCAGAATTCTTTTCAGCAGGTAGAGATTGGCATCTCCCCTTCTCTATTCAGTTATAGTGGGGGTGTTATAGCAGTTATGATCCCACTGTGCTTCAGAAACAATCAAGTAAGACCAGCTAGTATACCTCACAAGTGTGTACACAGAGATCTTCTGTATCCATGCATCATGGCAATCAGTTCTTGTGACAAATTGGGTAATCTGGTGCCATACATAAACAAAAAAACACAGAGAGCACTGGCCTCATGAAGTACATAATACTATTTATTATTAATAAAATGGGAATAATGCACTTAATAAACGATCCATATTCATGTAAAGATAACCACCATGCAACATGAATAGGAAGGGTTAACATTCAACACATACCACCAGCATCCAAGTGGCTATCAGAAGCTAATGCTGGAAATAGCTAGTGCGTTTCTGGGTTTCCACCCCCTGTCATAAGAGCCTACCTAATGTCCACTACATTCTGCTTTTACCTTGACCCTAAAGGTAGCCGGGGCAAAATGTGGAATGCCTCTAATTTTGTGAGAAAATTTGAGTGCTATATGAGACCTGCATATGTGTAATGGTTTTGGGTGACTGCTCTGATTGTCTAGGCAATGCATACCCATGCTGTGGTGCTAGCCAATGAAAGCCACAGCCAGGTCTTGATCACGTTGAGTTTTCTGGGTAACCAAGACACAAACCTGTATGACATGAGCCTCTCAGAACTTCTCATGGGCAGCCCACTGAGAGCCACGACCAGGCCTAAATCACACCGGGTTTCCTGAGTACATCAGGTGTGGAGTGGATGTCATATAGGCTCTGATGATGGATCTGATGATGCTAGTGGCAGCCATTGGATATTAGCACTTCCTATTCATGTTGGCTGGTGGTTATCTTTACATGATGATTGACCTTTTATGTTTGTATTATTCACATTTTATTTTTAATAAATTGCATTATGTACTTCACGAGGCCAGTGCAAAGATGGACAGTGCAAAGATGGACAAAGACTACCATGCAAACTGAAACCGTAGAACAAGTGTTCTGACATTGCCCACATATCACATTATCATGACCAGAGCAGTCTAAACTGTTCATTTAAAGGAAGCTTGCACTGAGGGAACATGTAGACACATTTTTCCTTCTAAAAAAAACAGTTTCCTGGAAATGGTCCTTTTCTGCACCTGCTGGCAAGGGACTGGCTTTACTACTTTGTCTGTGGCTGCTTTTCAAAGATAAGACATTGTACACTGGCATTGTTTTGATGTGCCTGGAATGTATTTAGCTTACATAAAAAAAAACCTTCTATGAGAGTCACAGTGGAACTTTACAGAGGCAACCTGTACTTAGAATGTAGGGAGCCCATCACTGATGAAATCTCCTTCTAAAAATACAAGGTCCCTGGCTGTAATGCAGATTCAAATCAGCAATGGCATCCATTGTACTGTAGCTTAGCACAGAATGTAAAAATGGCTCAAGCAAAACTATCAGGATTATTCACAAAACGGTGAAGAGTTTGGAGAAGGCCGGAGAAGTGAACAATCTAGGACAAAATAGCTGAACAGGAAAAATTCTCCAATTCAGCTCACTTTACATTGTCCTAGATTGTTCCCTTCTCCTGCCTTCTCCAAACCCTTCACCCTTCTGTGAATAACGTGAATAACCCTGTATGTGTCATAAAATATAATTTGACAGAATAATACAGATAATTATAGCACACATAGATTGTTAAATTACTTTTATCTTCCTTACCACAGGAATAATTTACAGTGAGATATTTGATGACACCTGGTAGACAAGGGCTTCCAAATTGTTCATCGCTGACCAGCATTCGACATCTCTGCTTCCCGTAACACCGGTGTGCCAGCACCTTCATTGCAGAATATGACACACAGTCTGCAGGGATAAGCGTAACACCATAAAGATATGTTATGAGACCTGCATATGTGTAATGGTTTTGGGTGACTGCTCTGATTGTCTAGGCAATGCATACCCATGCTGTGGTGCTAGCCAATGAAAGCCACAGCCAGGTCTTGATCACGTTGAGTTTTCTGGGTAACCAAGACACAAACCTGTATGACATGAGCCTCTCAGAACTTCTCATGGGCAGCCCACTGAGAGCCACGACCAGGCCTAAATCACACCGGGTTTCCTGAGTACATCAGGTGTGGAGTGGATGTCATATAGGCTCTGATGATGGATCTGATGATGCTAGTGGCAGCCATTGGATATTAGCACTTCCTATTCATGTTGGCTGGTGGTTATCTTTACATGATGATTGACCTTTTATGTTTGTATTATTCACATTTTATTTTTAATAAATTGCATTATGTACTTCACGAGGCCAGTGCAAAGATGGACAGTGCAAAGATGGACAAAGACTACCATGCAAACTGAAACCGTAGAACAAGTGTTCTGACATTGCCCACATATCACATTATCATGACCAGAGCAGTCTAAACTGTTCATTTAAAGGAAGCTTGCACTGAGGGAACATGTAGACACATTTTTCCTTCTAAAAAAAACAGTTTCCTGGAAATGGTCCTTTTCTGCACCTGCTGGCAAGGGACTGGCTTTACTACTTTGTCTGTGGCTGCTTTTCAAAGATAAGACATTGTACACTGGCATTGTTTTGATGTGCCTGGAATGTATTTAGCTTACATAAAAAAAAACCTTCTATGAGAGTCACAGTGGAACTTTACAGAGGCAACCTGTACTTAGAATGTAGGGAGCCCATCACTGATGAAATCTCCTTCTAAAAATACAAGGTCCCTGGCTGTAATGCAGATTCAAATCAGCAATGGCATCCATTGTACTGTAGCTTAGCACAGAATGTAAAAATGGCTCAAGCAAAACTATCAGGATTATTCACAAAACGGTGAAGAGTTTGGAGAAGGCCGGAGAAGTGAACAATCTAGGACAAAATAGCTGAACAGGAAAAATTCTCCAATTCAGCTCACTTTACATTGTCCTAGATTGTTCCCTTCTCCTGCCTTCTCCAAACCCTTCACCCTTCTGTGAATAACGTGAATAACCCTGTATGTGTCATAAAATATAATTTGACAGAATAATACAGATAATTATAGCACACATAGATTGTTAAATTACTTTTATCTTCCTTACCACAGGAATAATTTACAGTGAGATATTTGATGACACCTGGTAGACAAGGGCTTCCAAATTGTTCATCGCTGACCAGCATTCGACATCTCTGCTTCCCGTAACACCGGTGTGCCAGCACCTTCATTGCAGAATATGACACACAGTCTGCAGGGATAAGCGTAACACCATAAAGATATGGATCAAGCTTTAGTGGTCGAGTTTACTCAGGAAATACATATATGGTAGCCATGGACAAGCACATCTCATACAGAGAATATTGGACTTGTGGGGGAGTTGTCACCTATTTGCATAGTATGTAAAAAGATGATAGTATGTAACAAACATAAGAACCACCAACTATATTACCAAAATGATCAGGACACCATAATCGTAACCTATATTTCTTTCTTTTTGAATAAGAGAGTAACTGTACTATGAATTCTTCTGGAGGGATAACTGATTTTTCTACCGTGGTACATTGGTTTACAGTTTCTGCTTATTATTGATGCAGGGTTCCATTGCCAAAAAAAGGTAAAGAAAAGCCCCCCAAACTCCCTTACCCGAGCCCTAAAACCTGAATTCCTAAAAGAACCAATTACACATGACCGGCACCCAACACGTAATCTGACCCTATGCTGTCCCTAAACTTTACCCTTAATCCCCCAAAACTAAATCCTAACCTTGACCTGATGCTTCTCGTAGGCCAATTTACAATCATTTTTTACACAATGCTTTGCATTCAATAGTTTTTACTTTTAGGCTCAATAAGTGATATGAAGTGCAAGCTAGTGATAGGTCAAGGTTTTTATAAACAGGCCTTACAAAATGGAACTTGGAGGAAGCAGTTCAGGTACAAACACTCTCAAAATATTAAGAGGAACTGAACTCTGGAAGCTGTGCCCAACAAAATGTAGGCAGAGGACAAAGGACTAGTCACTAGTATTGCCTGTGGTCTCCCTGCGGTCTTTCCCTATTACTAACTTACCGTGCTTTGTTCGGCACTGTGTATCTGCATGGAGGTGGCCATCTTGGTAGAGGCAAGGCTTTGCTTCCTCATGTCAGCCTCCAGCAAGGGGAGCAATGAGCAGCACAGTAGTGTCATCAGTAAATATTACAAATCTTGGGAGATTAGCAGTCAGAGGCAGCAGTGCCTTAGATTTCATGCTGCAGATATACAGCTATGATGCTGTAGGCTCAGGAGTGCCTGAACACCCTCAAATACCAGGAAGTGCTCTGCTATTTTTCAGGAGGAATTCTAGTTAAAAGGATAAATATTTCAGGGTACTGCTAAGGCACAATTAAAAGTTCTCAATGTTCCCCGTAACATAGCAAATCTTTACTGTTTGAGTTCAGGTACACTTTAAAGCAAACTAAGCAAAGTAAGTTATGGTGTGACACTGCATAATAACAATGATAAAGATCTTAGCATAAAGAGTCCAGAAAGAGAGAAAAAGAAAGACAGAATATTTTACTCTATGAACATTGTGTCATGTAAAACACAGATGTCCCATCTTGCAAAGCATATATTTATTTCTCATGCAGTATATTTATTTTAAAATAGCTTGGATATTTCCCATTCCTCCCAAGAGACTAAAAATGAAGCCTGTGATGCAACCAAATTGTCTGTTAATTCCAGTGTTTCAAAGAGAACCCACATGTTTGTACACAGACGTCATTTATAATTAACAGTGGGACTTTTTCATCAGATTTGAACTGGTAACTCTGAAGTCGAGTCTTGCTTGTTTTTGTTCTCATACTAAAGACAATCCAACCACTGGAACTCTATATTCACACGTATTAATCTTTTATCACATAAAAGCTTGTATCTAAAGGGCATACTGTATGTGATCTAGCGCTAACACAAAATAATGGGATCCTGCTCAATAAATTGCAACTGCAATCCTTTTCTCTGCGATGTTGATGTCTCCTCCATGATGGTGCCTCACTGCTGTCTGTCCATAGAGAAAACCAGTTTACCTGTTATCCAAAACCAGACTTTTACTCTTGTATCTTTAGAACCTCAAACTGGGCAGTCAGGTACCTAAGCGCCATTGCAAATTCAGAAACAGAGATAATTGATGGTGCATACAGTATACACATGTGTTTCATACAATATAGCAAGCATTTGGGGATCTGCCTCGGTGGTGTGATTACCCCATGATTCACCATCTTAAGTTTCTACTCTTGAGGGGAATTACAGTGAAGTGTTGAGAAGCTTTCCTGATCCTTCTGACTATAACCACTAAAGGTAAGTACAGTTTAAAAAAAAATTGCCAACTCCATAAAATCAGCCCACAAATGGAGTTAGCAAACCCCTTTGTGGCTATTCAACCCTGCACTGTTCTGGAAAGGCTTTTCATAAGATTTCAGAGTATGTCTGTGGGAATGTGAGCTCAACAAATTTTTAAGGTTGGTCTGGCAGCGGCGAGAGTGAGGTGGGGAGGAGGTGCGGCGCACAGTGTGTGGAGCTGTGAACAGGGCCAACTGATCGGAAGCCGATTAATCGATTATTGAAAAAGTTGACAACTTTTTCAATAATCGATTATAATCGATTATGTCGATTAGTTGTTGCAGCCCTAGTTAGAAACTGATATGTGTTGGATGAGAAGACCTGGCTCACAGTTGGTGTTCCAGTTCATCCTAAGGGTTGTCAACAGGATTGAGGTCACAATTATGTGCAGGCAATTCATGTTCCTCAACACCAAACCCATGGGTCTTCTTTATGGTGTTGGTTTTGCACACAGGGCCACAGTCATGCTGAAACCGAAAAATGCCTTCTCCACACTGTTGCTACAAGGTTGGAAGCACACAATTGTCAAAAATGTCTTTGAATGCTGAAGCATTAACAGTACCTTTGGAACCCACTGGAAATACCTAAACTAAACAATTTGGAGAGGTATACACTTTCTTTTGGCCATTTAGTGTAGGTTTGATGGACAGGTGTTCACAATATGTTGTGGATACCTTATGGTTTGGGAGCCTTTGATTAATTCCTCAAACACTATCTGCAGTACTTTGGTCAAGCTGAAGTTTTACTTGATGACATTTAACAACCAGATATTTCCTTTGCACTCACCGTATGGGATCCCTTGGTTCCTATTTGTGGAACAGGAGTTCTTTTCATGGGCGAAATGACCATAGACGGCAGAGTAGATGTTGAGTAATTTGGGCTCCTTACAATGAAGCTTCAGCTCGCGGTTTTCACAAACAGATGTGGATTTATATTCAGCTATAAACAGAAGCGCACACTAAGCAAACAGTCTGTGCAAACACTGGCCTTCTATATATAAAGCATAGGGCATATCATACTATATAGCAGACGGGAGGATCATTACATGGCACACGCTTTTTATAGATGTCACACATCTGTGCTCACTTGGCAAATATCCTACATTTCAATACTGCAAAACTGTCATCACACAATAAAAGTATCACAATTCCCAGTTATGTGGTTTGAGGCTTGCTCTATGTACACAGGAAATCAAGGGAACCATTACTTGCATGTTCCAGAGTAAAGTTTGTTATTTGGAGAATGGAACTGACAGACTGATATAAAGGAACCAGTGTCTGTAATGACAGAGGCAGCAGGTCAGGCTCTCTTTATGCTTCATGAATTGTTTCCTGTACAAATATCTTTGCTATCCTCACATCTGCTCGGTGGAATAACAGGGGAGATAGACTGACGGAGATGAAGCGTGGCATTCTATAATAAAATCACAGAGACTAGCTACATGTATGTTCTTTTCATATAAACATTTCATAGCAAACCACGCTGTTGCAAGCTGAATAGCCCACTGTAGAATGGGCTCATGAAAGCTCTTATGATCTAATTGGCTGCAGAAGAGGCTCTCAAACCCATCTACAGACCTTAACAGCTCAATCATTGACTAATCCACTTGTGTTTCGAGGAGAATTCTACAAAACATTCACTACTGTTGATCACGGTTTTGAGAAAGCTCTGCCTTCAAGCAGATATGTACTTGGTCCATTCAGGACAAGGCAACTAGTTTTCCTTAAAGGAACCAAGTCCCTCTGCCCCTCTTTCCTCCTCAGTCCCATCTTCTTGGTCGGATGTACAGATATCTATGAAAGGTTCTATTTAACTACGAGAAGTGTTATTCTGCACTAAAACCTTCATCCTATCTCCTAATTATCTTGTTTGCTATCATGAAATTCAGTATAAAGGAAGAATAATGGTTTAACCAATTCTTTTTTGGCATATACATTCTTAATGGTCCACATAACTGGGGACATCATAGGGAGGTGTCCATTGCCTATTTATAACTGGGGGCGTGTCCACTGCCTATATATAACTGGGAGCCTGCCCATTGCTTATATATAATGGGGTGTGTGACAGGGATTTGGGGGGCATTGGGGGGCATTTATCAATACTGGAGCAGACAAAATCTGGAGCAGTTGCCCATGGCAACCAATTAGCTTCTCTCTTTAGTTTTTTCGGCTAAGCTTTGAAAATGAAAGGTAGATGCTGATTGGTTGCCATACACAGCTGCTCCAGATTTTGTCTGCTCCAGTTTTGATAAATTCCCCTCCTTGTGCTGAAAGTGAATGATCATTCCAGGGTGAGGGGGTGTACTGTCAGTGAATGGTCATTTGGGGGTTGCTGTCAGTAAATGCTCCTTACTGCTGGGTTCAGTGGCTCTTTCTGGCATCCCGCTCAGCTCCTGGCAACTGGGGATGTCAGTGAGCTGGGTGGGAAGCCGGATGAGAGTGCCACTGTCGGTGGAACACCATGGCTGCCCCCCTGCCGCCTAGCCAACACACCCCTGTACCTTGAAGAGTGTGCCCGGCCAAGGTGATATCATGTAAATCCAATAGCTAAAAAGTGCAGTGTGCTGATGCTGATTTTTGCATTGGTTTTGTTTTTTGCTGGGGGAGATTTCTTTTCAATTCCCATCCCAGTGACTAAACAGGAAGCAAGCAGAATTACCCTCATTAGAGAGAAGGAAGGCAGGTGGGCAGGACCTTATTCTGAAGTCAGAGAAGTCAAGTCCTTAATGAGAAAATAAACCCGGTATCAGATAGGAACACAAAGAAGGGCTTTTGGCCACAAAAAGGTAACAGCAAGTTACCAGCAAGGTCAGTTGTAGCAGATCCTCTTAGAACCTTTCCATTTATAATGGCTGACAGGTTCCCTTTAAGCCTTCAGCTTGCACAGCAGAAAACCAGAGCGGCGTGTACAGGTGCTACATGAATCGCTATAGTCTTCACTCTTGGATCAGATGCAGAGAAACAAGTCCCTGGTCCGATGCCAGCGACAGTTTTTTAAAAAAGAAAAAAAAAATCTCTTTCTACTGTTGTAAAATAAGCCTTTTCAGCACTGGCAGAGAGTGCACACTTGTTTAATAGGATTATTCTCTCCATTCAGGCGGAAGACAAAGTCCTTTTTCATGTAGTGTAATCAGCACAATACTGCTGAAAACATCTTGAGTATAGTTGTATCCACACAGGGCAGACAGTGGGTAGCTGCTCGGTGCATGACATAACAGGGCCCCGGGGTAGCCAGAAATGGGCTCTCAAAGGGGAAAGTTAGCTTTAATGATCTTTTAATAATGTCCGCTTTACTTCTGCCATTAATCGTCCCTGTCTGCATGTGTTCCTGAATTTACTGGGATGAACAGACGGCTCGGAACATGCGTGTGTGGTTTATTGGCCTTGAAGTGTCATTTTAGAAGGAATCCTCCCAACAACATTCTAAATGTTAAAGTGCTAAACTCTGGGGAAATTTAAAAAAAACCTTTCGGTGGAGCTCTCCCCCACACTGCAAGGGTTAAATGTTTGCTTATGCCATGGGGACTTATCCCCTTGGTCCCACAGGCTTCCTCCATGATACGCGACCACCCCTCTCAGCCTCTTCTCTGGGCCACTCAGTTGGTTGCAGGCACTCTGACGCCATCAAGTACAGTGCAGGTAGGGTTGCCACGTTTTCTTCCAGCGAAGCCCGAACACCACCCATTAATATGTAAATATCACAGTGGAGACTATTTTGAGTGGGGGGCCAATAGCCCCTATCTTAATTTTGGTTGCCCCTGTCTGCCTGACATCTTTTGTCCGGGTTTCTGCTGCCATGAAACCCAGACACAGCATTCAAGACCCGGACTGTCTAGGTGAATCTTGGACAGGTGACAACCCTAAGTGCAGGGCCAACAGCTCTGCACTGTACGTGAGGACACTGAGGGACCGTCTACAACCCGGAGCACTGGGAAAAAAGGGGAGCACCGGATGCCCAGGGAAAGAGTGATATAGTAAGTAACAGTCTTTTTTCCTGGTACCCCCAGGCATAAACGAGTATTTAACCCCTGTGGTGCAGGGGGGGGGTTTCCCAGAAAAATAACTCTGGGAAAACTAAAAACTGACCATAGCAAGGTGGTTTAGTGCTCATTTTGTCTAGGGGCTAAAAAAAAAATTACTCGCCTGATCCTGTCCCTCCAGGCTGCTAAAACGGTCCCTGCAGCAGCTTCTCCCCTGGGCTCCGGCGGTCTAAGGACCAATGATGTCATTGCGTCTTATGCTGGTCCATTGGCCTTCATTAGAAATAAGAAAGCCAAGGGACATTCCATAACCGAATTGGGTGAGGCGAGCACTGACTGATGTGGGACCGTTGATTAGGGCAGTAATACAGCTTTATTTGAGCCCCCTAGACAAAACGCGCACTTAACCCTTTCAGTACAGGTGTAGCCCCACTGCAAGGGAATTTTTTTTTCTACCCAGAGTTTTTCTTTAAATTTTCCATTTACCACTTCATGACTAGAAGTCATTGATGTCCAAGTCAAATTTAGCAGTGCCCGCTTGCAGTACTTGGAAATAAGTCTTATGCTTCATCTGTATATCTAAATAATTCTTCAGTATTTTTTGTACTGAACTATTAAAGGGAACCTGTCAAAATGGCTGTTACCTATGACAGCTGAGGCGTCTGCCCAGCCATTGCCCGACTATTTTATGCAAAGCTGCTTTCACATCAGAGCGTACCAAAGCAGCATCACATAGCAATGTACCTGCCCTGGCGTTATAACCATTCCAAGGTAACGACAATGGGAGCCTTTAATGCTGGATAGGAACACTGGGTGTGACAGGCAACAGTTGATATGCCCCCAAGTCTTTTAGTCTAAGCAGCTCAGTTGTGCTACGAAAACCTCATGATTTCTTTGTTTGTATCGCGTTACCTTTATTATGAGGTGCTACACAAGAGAAAGTAAGACAATTGAACAATCGATCTCTGTCAATTACACAATGCAGCAATTTAACAGTGAAATCTAAGCTATAAGTGATTTGTCTCCTCTCTTCTCCTCCACAGACTTAAATAGGTACATGAAACTAATTGATAAACGATCGATCATTTAGGAGATTAGGCCCCTCCCCTCATTCCCCCTTCATGTGTACCTCTGCAATATACTGTATATAATGGTTCTCCAGCCATAGCTTACACACAAAAAAAGCAGCACAGGCTGCAAACCTCCTTTCTGGCGCTCTTGTCTACAATGATACTTTTTACCACTAAATGTCCTCAGTCTTCTGGGTTGAATGACATACTGTGAGTGCAGGGTGTCATGGACCCACCCATGAAGTGGTGTCACCACGGCTTATGGCACTTACAGTGTAATAATTCAGACAGCAGTGGTGACGTCATTAAGTCAGCAGCCTTCTCTGCAACACTGATGACCGCCCATTGCCAGGAGAAGAGTTGAAGAGGGTCCTGCATGTCACATGACCAGCCTGAAGACAAATCTTTAAAAGGTAAGTATTAGGGATTCACTGATACCGATACTGGTATTGGTGCCGATTCTGAGTATTTGAGCGAATACTCGTACTCGCCCAAATGCTCCAGGTGCTTGTCCCGATACCGGAACTTCCATTATAAGTAAGCCGGGTGGCGAGTCATTACCCACCCCCCAGGTTCCTGATTGGCCAGAGAGCCGGCTCAATGCTTCCTCGTCACCGGCTCAATGCTTCCTCGTCACCGGCTCAATGCTTCCTCATCACCCAGCTTCCTGATTAGCCTCCTGATAATCAGGAAGCTGGGTGGCGAGTCATTACATGTCACCCGGCTAATCAGGAAGCTGTATGCGAGTCATTACACTCCGCCCGGCTTCTTTAATGGGACTTCCGGTATCGATATTTGGTATCGGTGAGTACCGGGAAAAAATATCGCTACTCGTACTCAATACCAAAAAAACGGTGTCAGTGCATCCCTAGTAAGTATTAAATAAAAGCATAAAATACACAATGGGGACCTCTGGGGAGGAGCCTAGAACTTGGAACTGGGCTTTAATCTCAAAAGACCAATCTCCTGTGACCCAACAGGCGCCTGCAGTAGCACTAAAGTAACAATAAAAATGGATTTTTGAGATTATTTTCAGCCCTTGCCCTAGGGAGAGGTAAAAAGTGCCCATCGAACACTGACCTCAGACTAATGTGAGAGATACGTAAACAAATATGAAAATGGTATGACTTTTTTAAATATGTCAATACCGAATTAATTAGCAACAAATAACTGAAAATAAAAACGTCACAAGATTTGTGTAATTACAGCTGAGCCATTCAACAAAAGTAATATTTATCCCTCCGAGTCAATTACTGAACTGAATATCACAACAATATCGCTTTTCTTCTCTGCGGCAGAGCAGGCTGGAGGAATTCTATTATAACAGCTTTCCGCCTAATACGGTAAAACATTTTTTATTCCATTACGTCCGTCAATATTGAATCTTCTTATGCCAGGAAGTAGGGATGCCGATAAAGGCAAATGTTAACAAGTAACCTATTTGACAGCTAGGAGCCTATTCTGGTGAGGTTTGGGATCTTCATAATTTTCAGGAGAGTAAAGTCAACCTTGGCAAGGCAATTTTTCTTCAAAGGTGTTCCTTAACCACTTGCTGACCGAGGTGTTTAAACCCCCTTCCTGTCCCGGCCATTTTTCAGTATTCAGCGCTGCGGTACTTTGATCGACATTTATTCCTTCATGCAACACTGTACTGAAATTAATTTTATACCATTTTTTGGGGGCACATATTTTCTTTCTTTTGGAGGTATATAATCACCACTGGGAGTTTTATTTTTTACTATATAATGAAAAAAGTACCGTAAATTTCGGGGGAAAAACATGTTTTTCAAATGCTATGTTAAAATTTTTTTATTCTTACCCATATTTTTGGTAAAACATAAAAGATGGGGTCACATCAGGTTTTTTTTCACTTAACTTTATTATTATTATTATTATTATCATCATCACATAGGGGGCTAAGAAGTCCCCTATGTGATAGCAAAGAGGGTGTGATAGGTCCTCTTTATGGAGACCTCAGGGGTCTTTAAGACCCCTAAGGTCACCTAGGGACCCCCAAAGAAGTTGATGAAGCAGAGATCTGTTTTCCCCAGCTTCTGAAGCCGGAGAGTGACAGCAAAATGCGGAATTGATGTAATACAGTATATATCACTTCCGCATTCTGACAGCGGAGGGGAGTTCGGAGGGAGATCGTGTACTGATCTCCCTCTGATCTCTTGTCACAGAGCTGCCGTGCTGGACCAGGCCCACCACGGCCAAAGCGTGGTGGGCCTGGTCCGTACCAGCGCTGCAGTGGGTGGGCACCGATCGGCACCTCATACAAGCGATCCGTCGGCCCTATAACCGGCGGATCGCTTGTATGTAAACAGGGATTGCTGCCTGTTTTTAAATTTCGATAGTTTTCTCGCTCGCACGCGCCGTGCGGCATGCACAAGTGGGCGGGGCTAAAAGGCCGTGTTTAGATGGCCGCTCAGATCCAAGAAGCTCCCGGACATCCGTTTAATCACAATGGTTGGCCGGGAAGCAGTTGATGCAAGGTTATCTTTGACGAACAACCTCGCTTTAAACTGGTCATAGACCAGTAGAATGTAGTTTTAAAAAATATGTTTTTCGCAACGATCGTCCTACATGGTGCCACACGGAAAAAAGTTTAGCCATGTCCTAAGCTAACTGTACTTGGGTACCGCTCGCTCCTGTGTTCAGGGCAGCCTCAGCCATCCAGGAGTATGGCTCCAGCCATAGGAATGAATGGCATGAGAGGCTTCCATGTACAGCAGGTCCAACCACAGGGCTGCACAGTGCAGAAGAAGGTATTTACATACATAGGCATCACTAAGGGGTGGTGGTGGGAAGCTTCAAAGTACAACTTCACTAAAAGTGAAGTTGTCCTTTAAATTAGGACATATGAGCCAATTCTACATCCCATACACAATCATGTTAATAAAGCTAAACTCCAGCCTTCAGTTTTACACAGTTGTACCGGCTCCTCTCCTGGACTGAAATTGCCTACTCTGATTTCACTGCACACTGTGCGCTTCTTACAGTAAACATTAGAAGCGGCAGGAAATCAGATAGAGCCCGCCTCATTTCCTGGCCGGAGGATGTCCATCATCATCTAACTCTTTCTTACACAGTTTTACTGCTCCTGGCCCACCCCTTGTATTCATTGGATTTAGTTCTTTCAATCAAGGAGGCTCAGCATCACATGTGGGCATTACCTAGGGCAGTCTGTATGCAAAATGAAGCCTGTCTAGGAATGCCCACTCCTCTAGACTGATATCCACCTATCGATTTGAAATTTGCATAGCTTCTCCCAAGAGCCATCAAACTGCTTGCATCAGGGTTTAGGATTACTCAGAGGAGTATTGAAGCAGGGTGCTGTGATGTTTTCAGGAAGCTATGCACATCTGACCCCTCCCACCAGTCATAATCTGTCTGCCTTGCATGGAAAAGCACAGAGATCCAGTGATGACAACCTGAAACCATGTAATGAAAAAGCAGAAAGGTTTGATTTAAAATGTTCATGATGAACGGGGAGGAAGAACCAGGGAAGGCAAAATATAAGCGGATTAACCTTCAGCTGTAATGCACTTACTAGGTTTGCACTTGTAAGACACCAGAAGATATTTGGTAGTACCCGGACATGGATCCAGCCCAAATACTCGACTGTTCACAGGCAGCTGGCAGGACCTTAGATTCTGGCATTCATCCAGGACTTTCTAAAACAATGAGAGTTACACAAGCTTGAGAGCCGATCACACCCAGCAACAATGTATGCATTTAGTGACATAGCATACAGTATACATGTACAGACAATAGGCTATTACACTCACATTCACATCTTGATGCTGTAAATGTGCATTCAGACAATCTTATCTTCTATTCTGTATTATATTATTCGATGCAAAGGAAAACCCATGAAACTTTCCTGTGCTAAATCTTATCTGTGCACTTACTTAAGTATCCCTCTCAGTATTAGCCAAATCTATATATGAAATCATTTCCTTTTTACACAATAGCACCCCATGCAGGGAAGGAGACCAATAGAGAGACATCATAGACTGCACTTTTATTTGATACAGACTGTAATACAGAAAAAAACAATACGTGATCAAGGGAATATTTAGTAATTTTCCATATTATTTTTTTCCATATTATATTTTTAATGCTTTCAAATATGTTTTTTAGCCACGGAAATATAAAATTATGACACGTTAATTTTTCATATTTACATAATTTACATTTCCAGCCAGCAAGTGCACTTCTGGGCTTCTTTTCACCTTTACCAGGCTAATCTTGCCTGCTTTACTGAAACAGCATGTTATTTACAGACCTCAGTAGCTCCAGCTCTAATTTATTCACACACGGCTCCCTGTCTACTCTGATTGCCCTATGGAGTATCAATTATAGTGAGAGAGAGAGAGAGAGAAGAGAGAGAGAGAGAGAGAGAGAGAGAGAGATGGAAGGAAAACATTTTCTGCTATGTTTTCTTTTTAGAAAACTCATAATTCATTTGTAAAATAAATAGTTAGTGCAAATATTTAAAAAATACTAAAAATAAAATGTTAAAATGTCTGCCACTAAACTAAAACTACACATAAAATAAGTCCCTGCAATAAAGAAAGTGAACACTTACCCCTCCTGCTACCTGCACCACCAAACACTGCCCTGCTGAAGAAAAATCGTTGGCTGAATTCTTTTTAAGAAATCGACACTTCTGGAAGTGTCAATATACTGGAAGTGGTTTCTTCTATATCACAATACATCATTACAGGACACTGCAATGATATAGAGGTTGGCAGGAGAAATAAATGAGTGCATTGGGGAACCAGGAGATCGACATTCCCAAAGTGTCGGTTTCTGAAGAGACTTCAGTTGGTGGATTTTCTTTAGCAGAGCAGGGCACAGGAAAACAAGGAGAGGCGAAGTCTGAGCCTGAGCCTGAGCCTGAGCCTGAGCCTGAACCTTATGACAGCTTAGTACACTTTAAAATCATACAATCTTCTAAAATAAAATAAAACTGACCAAAACTGTTATGTGTCCCCTTTTAAGAGAATCTGTGTATGCAGAATTAAACAAGCAACAGGACCAAAAGGCTAAAGACCCAGAGCTGGCTTCATCTAAACTCCAAAGGCCTTCTTGTGTCAGAAGTTTCTTTGGAGGCTTAGTTTTATGTTTGAATATGGGGAACCCTGGAGATCACATGTAGACAGATATATCCCAAATAGATATGACCTGGCCTTATGTATATGTATTGATAAGTTTATTCTCCAGTTCTTCTTGAATAATAAGTGACCTAGTAATCGGCCAGTGGGCCATCATGTTTCATTGTTCCAACTGAAGCAATATTGTGATTTGCATCATTCTTTTAAAGACATTTACAATTCTGTTATCATTGACAGAAAGAGTATTATGGCTTTGATATTATATAACAAGACGGTGAGGCAGTATGCTTCGTAAACAGTAGTGTTGATCTTGTTGATCTGTTAGGAGTGTACACGATTTAATAAATAAAGATATTTATTAGACATGTAAGCTGTGGAAAAATTCAGTTTGGTTCGGATATTTCATTATTTCGGGATTTGGATCCGAAAAGTCATTTTGGTTCGGGTTTTGGACAAAATCCAAATTTTCGTTCGTTTCGGATGAGTTTAGGAATATTTGTTGCGAATACCACAGAAAACCATATACAGATATTATTTCTAAAGTTGAATCTCCTACACCCAAATGGCATTCGGGATCCGAATTTTCAAATTTGCATTCGGGAGCTCCCGAATGCCATTTGGGTCTGGGAGCCTCAGCTTTAGTATTATATTTATATAATGTATATGGCTCCCATGTTGCCGTAATGAAAATTCGTATTCAGACCCATTCCGATGCTTTAAACAGAAAAAACATCCGATTGGCCAGAAAAGTCACATGTCCGATTCAGTTTCATTTTTGAATGAAATTTGGACCGGATCCGAAATCTGGAAATGGAAATTTGGATTCGGACACATTTGGAAGCATTGGGATTCGGATATATAGATGTGCCCGCATATCTGAAAATTTGTGCGAATTTTGATTCGAAACTACAAAAATCACACATGCCTAATATTTATGAATTTACTCTACTTAGATATCGTCAACTGTATCATACCGTAGACAATAAACAGAATCATGACATAAGTTCCCTCAACTCTAGTGTCCTAGTATGTACTAAGCCTCGTCAACTCTTGCTGATATGCCCCACTCCCTACAATGATCAGTTCACTGCCAGATTCTTGAATGACCACTGAACTTTAGACATTGGACTGGTAAATGATAGGGATGAGGCCCATAGTACTCCACAGGTACACTATCATAGGTTTGATGATAGCCATAGTCACTCTAAGCTATTACATTATCAGAATTGTTAGTCAGCATACTGTAGCACCTGACAGAGCCAATTTATAGAGACCATAGAACCATTCATATTAGTTCTTGCCCCCAAAGAAACTTTAAGCCTTTAAGCCCATAGCAGGTTCATACACACAAACCCTACGGTCAGTTTACCTACCAGTATATTTCATATTATTTTTTACCCCCAAAGAAAATTTTAAGACTAAAGCCACTATCAGACTCACACACACAGACCTTACCGTCAGTTTACTACCAGTAAATCTCTAATAAAAATATAACTAGGAGCAATAGGAATAGTTAGCAGGAAAGGGAACACCTACTTGTAGCGCAGTTGGAGCAAGGCACGGCTTATGAGGACTGGGCATGGTCTCCAGTGACAGTGAGGGACACTTTGGTGAACCGTGTAGGTGATGGCCATAAAATGCAGACTGGATGCTGATGGTGGAATGTCGAGGACACTGCAGGGTCAGGTGATCACCGTCACAAGCTGATACAGTATGATTCTGAAGCAACCTTGTCAGATAACCTAAATAGATACAACAATAGCAGATTGATGAAACCAAAGCAAGCAGAAACTTTTTATTTAGTTATGTTATCATTCTAAAATTCTCCACAGGGTAACACATCAGTGATAGGAGTACACAGATACACAGATGACCATCATAAACTGACTGAGCAATTCCATGAAAAAAAAATGGATTTGTACAGAAGTGACAGTGATAGTTGGTACAAAATATAACACTGGCAGGGATGCTTACAGCAATTACCTTTACTCAATGGTTTAAAACTCTTCAGAGAATAACACTATGAACCAAACACATCCCTACAATACCCCCAGTTACATCATTCATGAAGAATACATGCATAAAAGATTGCTTAATCACACTTTTTAAACTCTGCTTTCATTTTAAATATGAAAAAAACAATGAAACACCTGAACGAAATTTAGTGCAATAAAAACTAGGGATGCACCGATACCGATACTAGTATCGGTGCCGATGCCAAGAATTTGGGAGAGTACTCGTACTCGCCCAAATGCTCCGATGCCTGACCCGATACTTCCTGTATCAGGAAGCTTGGCAGCGAGTCATTACACGTTGCCTGGCCTCCTGATTGGCCGGGAAGCCGGCTTCATGCTCCCTCGTCACCTCATGACGAGGGAGCATGGAGCCGGCTTCCCTGACATCTGATTGGTCAGGAAGCTGGTCAATCAGGAAGCCGGGCGCTGCGTAATGACGCGGCGCCTGGCCTTCTGATTGGCCGCAAAGCCGGCTCCATGCTCCCTCGTCACCTCATGACGAGGGAGCAGGGAGCCGGCTTCCCGGTCATCAGGAAGCCAGGCGCTGCGTCATTACACGGCGCCCAGCTCCCTGATTTGCCAGAAAGCCGCTCCATGCTTTCTCGTCACCTAGTGACGAGAAAAATGGGGACGGCTTACCTGGTAATCGGGAAGCCAGGTGGTGAGTCTTTACACGCTGCCCGGCTAATTAGGAAGCCAGGTGGCAAGTCATTACACGCCACCTGGCTTCCTTAATGGGACTTCTGGTATCAGCGAGTACCGAAAGAAATATATCGGTACTCGATACCGAAAAACCGGTATCGGTGCATCCCTAATAACAACCATATGATAGTTAAAAAGTCAGCATGATAGGCAGTGTGTGGGTGACTTTGTGCCTCCACAGGCAGTCATACTGTCCTAGGGCATGGGCAACATTTGTGGGACTATTACACCTAAATAAGTTTTTTGGTCATCCCATTTCAAAACCATAGCCAATAATAAAGAGTTGGCCTCCTCTTGGTGACTATAATAGCTTCCACCCTTCTAGACAACTTTCCATAAGATTTTGCAATGAGATTGTGGATGACCTGTTTTCAAATTATTCCAACATTGTTCAATACGGTTATGATCAGAGTTCTGTGCACTTCACTCCAGATGCCCCACACCAAACCCATTAAACTATGTCTTTATGGAGCAGGTTTGTGCACAGAGGGGCAGTCATGCTGGAACAGAAAAGGGCCTTCTCTAAACTGTCACCACAAGGCTGGAAGTACACAATTGTCATCAATGTCATTGCATGCTGTAGTAACAGTACCTATCAATGTTAACACCTGAACCTAATAATTTGGAGGGGTGTCATATATAGTCATATAGTGTATGCATGATGGTCAGGTGTCCACATACTTTTGGTCATGCTATGTATATAGACTGTACTACTGGCAGTCAGAACCATGATGATGTGCGATGTGTGTTCCGTCCCTGACAGCCGTATCACCCTAGGCCATGGCCTTTGTTGGCTAAGCAGAAATCTGGCCCCGAATAAAAAGCTTCTCCTCTTCTTACTTCCTGTCTGGATTGATGAATCTCACCCTTTGTCACTTACTTGTCTCAGGGAATAATACACAGAAGTGACTTATCGGCTTTTCCTTCCTGCCTGTGATTGCGTAGGCTTTATCATTTGGCAGAGCCCTGTGACTGGCAGGCAAGAAGAGCAATGTAAATACTGATTTGAGAGTAGCTGCCAATACATTTATTTGCACCGACCTTTACAACAGACACAAAAGGGCAAATATTGTAAAGGAGCATTGGAGAGTAGGATTTGGGTCAAATAAAAAACTGTTCATCCAAATTAGGAATAATCTGCGGTGGGAATGAGTTTAGGTTTGGATGAACTCCTTTGAACACTGAAGTGCTACTGGCCACCTGCCCAATCGGCTGCGGGCTGGGGCATTCCCTGCCCTGCAGCTACACATAAACAAAACATTCTTATGCTGACATCATTGATTTTATATGGCCATATGGCCAGTCTGGTATTTATAACTGGCCCCATGAACTCCTCTCATCATCTCCAGTCCTGCAGCCACACCCTTACCAAGGTCTTCACATACAATGCAGAACATGCAGTTCTGAATTGTACATGTGGATATTAATAGCCCACCCATATTTGAAGGCTGGAGCGGGATCAGAGAAGAGTCCCAGCTGTCAACGGAGGGAGGAATATGGTAACCATTCCTTTTTACTACATCGCTCTAGACTAAACAAGCATTAGACCTGGAGGGGGGGTCACTCAAATGTAATTTTTATAAGATGACCAGAGTTAAGCTTTAAAAGGAGAATCTGCCTAGAGGCCAGGGGCAATACAGACAGTTCTTATTTCAGATACTTTAGCAGATAATGCTGAGTGTTTTATCACTATAGGAAGATACAAGATACTGTGATGACAAGTGCGATGTGTCTACAAGCCCCTATCTTGTCCCGTCTGCAGCCAGCTCTCACTCTGGTATTTCATGTTGTGCTACAGCCCAATTTTCTTCACAGCAACGTGCCATGCTATATTTAAAGCTGTCAAAACAGCAGGTGATCGCACTATTGTGCTGTAAGCGGTCCTTCAAAGTGAAACCAGTATCCTGTGTCCACTGCAAACTAACAGTTTCTCTCCTCACAATAGCTGAGATGGAGGTCTATGGTCGACTGAGTAGAAATCTTAAGCAATCGTGTGTAGATGAAATTCCAGGCTTGTTACAGCTGACTCCATCAAAGAAGTCGCTCTCTATGCCTTATCTTGCAAATTAGTTATTTTATGTGTACCTGCCATCAATTCACAATAAAAGGAATGGAGGATGTTTTGTGATTTTAAAATGTAGCCTATAAGGAACATGGCCTGAGATCACATTACAGTCAGTTTCATGAAACACAATGTTTCCAGTATATAAAATGCATTTTGTTATTTCCTTATTTTTACAACTGAAATTAAAGGTTTCATTGCAGGTATCAGCTAAGCATACCACATGCATACTGTACTGTCCATTTTTGGACCTTGTAAATATGTATTGTAAGTTCCCGCATGTTAAAATGAGCCTGGGCTTTGCCCATGCAGGGAGAAGCAACAGGTTCACTTTAGTTTGGCCCCATCGGCTGCTTCCTGTTGCCCCCCCCCCACTGCTCATTTTAGCCCATTAGATATATAGTGTCCAAATTATGCACCTAACTGGTAAAAGTAATAGGTCAGATCCCCAAAGATTTATTTTGATACCTGCTGCTCTTGACTTAACATCTCTAACCCTTGTAATTCCCTTAAAGCCATGTTCACCTCATTAACTTCTACTCCCAAAGCCCCCAAGCCTCTTAACTTGTTCTCTTCACTTAACCACTTAACTCCTGTAACCCATTTACTCATTTCCTCCCGGAAAAGTGATTTAGCTCTACACTTGCACAAGGTGATACAGCTAATAGAGAAGGATGGTTTGGATGGCCATGTAGGCCCTACAGGATCCACATGAACAACATCTTCTGTCTCTGTTAACATATCAATTCCTCTTTTTTACCTTTCACACTTTGCTCCTCCCTCTGTTCTATCGAAAGCTCCAACTCATCGAAATCTCCAACTACCTCACTTCGGGTGCTCAGAAAGACTGAAGCTCTGTACAGTTGCGGTGCGCAGGCACGCATAGCGCTTTCAGAAAACTCGTCAAGTTTGCCACCTGCTGAATACTGTTAAAATGCAGCTGTACAGAGCTCCAGTCAGTCTTTGTGTTTTGCAGTCTAACGCCGTATAGTCGAAATCTCCAACTTGCAAGTACCCGGCAGTAAGGTAGTTGGAGAGTTCGATGAGTTGGAGCTTTCAATAGAACACCCTCTCCTCCTGAAGAATTCAGCTGTACACTTGAGGCAGGTTCACATCTAGTCGATTGAGCTGTGGAGCTGTTTTTGCGCGGGTTGTGCAGTTTCTTGGCTCGATTTTCAATGCATAGATATGTCTGGGACCAAAACCGCACGACAACTGCCCGAAAATAGTTCCTGCCCCTTTTTGCGCAACAGACGATCTCGTGACGCAGCGCAAAGGTGTGAACAGCCTCCATTGACTTCAATGCGAATCTGTGTTTTGCGCGATATCGGGTGGCTAAATCCGTGCCATAAATCGTCTAGGTGTGCACCAGCCCTAAACTAGGTGATAGAGCTGTCTGTGTCTCTGCTGGGGAGATCCACACCATGTATTTGTACTAGTGACCGTTGTCTTTGGTACAGAAAGTGATAGGAAATCCAACATTTTAAAGTTGTTAGCAAAACAAGAGGAAAGAGTAAGTCACCCAATGGGGACTCTTTTTCCTTTAACAACTGTCTAAAAGGGAAATCCTTTAACTTTGGTGAAATTTCTTTTAATTTTCTGTTGTGTCTCCAGGACAAGAAGTAATAGGAAAGTCTGAGCTTGATCAGAACTTAGATGGCTGTAATTACTACGGGTGACCAGATGTAAATGGCCTGCCTCTGCCAATATCCACCCACATCTGGTCAGTAAAACCGGACCTGTCCTCGTTCACACTTACTAGTCCTGCCCTCCCTCCCTCTCATTCGTATACCTCCCTCTTCATTTCTATCCCATCCTGATGTTGTCTGATGTCCTGCCTCTCCCCTCAGCCCCCAAAAGCAGACAGGTAGACCCCGCGGTTTACCCTCCTATATGCATATAAACCATGGCTTACCGTACAATATGACATTTAAGATGTACATTACAATTCCCCCCACCCCCA